TTTGGAGTGTCATATCATACGCGCCACATTGTCACATTTAGGAAAAATACACTAAGGAGTTTTTAATTTTTGGAGGGTCACATCGTTGGAGTGCCACATTAATACTTGCCACATTAGAGTATTACATCATACTTGTTACATTAATAAAAGGTATAACTGTCCACCAAAACACTACCAAAATTAAAAATAGGATCGCACGAAAAAAAACTCTCTACTAATAGAACTTAACAGATTAATAAAAAAAAATTGAAACTAATTGGAGTAGTGTCATTATGGTAATGTTTATACTGAAATATTCAAATATCAAAAAGTGCACACATAATCCCACCAAAATCATCCGCCAGCAAATGAAAGGGTATAATTGACCTCTAAATACTAACAAACAAAGGAAACAGGATCACATGAGATATATTCCCCAACTAATAGGACTATTAAGAACTATAGAAACAACATTGAGATCAATTGGTGCAACTGTTTGTGGAATAGGATTTATCGGTAAATATCCCTTTTATTTATTCATTCTTTTTTTTGTCCTTGCGAGTAAAGTTATAATGTAACATATTTAATCCAGTAATTTATAATATGTTTAGTAACATTTATATTTGTAATTTTCTATTTATATTTACAAAAAAGTTTAAAATTATAAATAAAAACTCATCTTGTTTCTATTTTCATTTTCAAAAAGTTATAAACAGTTTAAAAAAATTATTAAAATTTGTAAACACAAAAAATTACTTTCACTTTATAAATTTTTTTTTTTTGGCCCTCATTTCTTCTTTCTCCCATCCTTTTCGACCACCACTCACCTTCGGCCACCGTGTCCCTCAATCGCAAACGACCTGCCATCACCACTAACAACCTTCCACCAGTGTTAATTACCTTCGCCACCACCTTTTGTTGAAAACCGCCTTCAACTATCACCTTAGATGGCTTACCGGCCACCGTATCAAACTATCTCTGGCAAACCTATAGCACAAAGAGCTTTCCAACTTTAGCTTACATCAGCTTTTGTAGCGAAAGTGATAGCTTGTCAGAGGGCAATCCAGTGGGCAAAAGAACAAAATTTGCATAAATTATGTATGAATAATGCTTGGGACCCCCTTTTGGAGGTCATCCCCTCACCCCCTTTGTCACGTGGCGGGTGGTGATTGGAGGAGCAGGAAAAAAAAGAAAAAGAAAAAGAAAATGTAACCAATGAGAGAGAGAGAGGGGGTTAAAGGGGGTGAGAGGAAAAGAGGGGATGAATCATTGTTGATTATGTATATGGACAGACTCACAACTTTTAGTAGACGTACTATGTAAAAGAGTTGGTCCGTTTTAGTCTTCTTTCACTATACTAGCAGATATAAGGTCCTTTAGTAAGTATTTTGATTATCTTTATGTATGTAAGGTCAAGCATTAGGATGTGTTAAAACATACACATGATTTGGCACGTTCCATAAATAATTTCCCTACTTAATATAACACTTGTTGTTTGTTTGCTTTCTCTTAGAAAAAATAAAAAATAAACTAAATAATAATAATAATAATAATAATAATCCATTGTCATACTATAAGTTAGGGGATGTTTGCTAATCTCATTCAGTAATTAAAACTAAATGTATTAAATGATAATTAATGTCCGTTTGGTAACTACAATTGATATTACTTAAAAATTTAAGTGCCTCTTAAAATGAAGATTAAAACTTAAGAAAATTTCAAGTCATAAGAAATTTACTTAATGCTGACTGAATTTATAACTATTATATATAAGTATTGATATACACTATTATAAACTCACCACCATCACTATCACCACAACACCACCATCATCCCACTGCCACCACTACTGTTACTACCACCACCATCATTGCTATCGTCGCCACCGCCACCACCATGTCATAGCCACTACTACCACCACTGCTACCACTACTACACCACCACCATGCAACATTTGCTACTACCATCACTATCACCGCTACCACTATCATGCCACTGCCACCACTACTACCACTACCATCATCATACCACCACCACTACTATAACCACCATCTTCATCACCGTTGTCATTGTTACCATAAGCACTATCATTATTTTACTACCACTATTATTGCTACCACCATCACCACCATGCCACCACTGCCACTACCACCATTAATGCTACCACCACCGCCGCCGCTACCACCACCACCACCACCACTACCACCACCACCAGCATCACAATATAAAAATCAAGATATACAATTTAAAAATAATAAATTTTATATTTAAACTTATATATATTAAACAATTTAATTTTAGTTCAACACTTAAATTTTTATCAAACAACTTTTCAATTTAAAAAATTCAGCATTCAGGGGTGATTTGGGATGATCTAAATAAGTACACTTTTTGATCTTTTATGAAATATGGATTGAGTATGGATTAGGTTTGAAGTGATGTGGTAAAGAGGTCATATGGTTTAAATAAAATGATGTGACTTAAATAGGATAGTGATTTTTTGACTTTATTAGATCATGACAAACAAGTTTTCAATATTTAATTTTTAGTCTTTAATTTTCAATTTATCAAATACCACCTTAGGCATGCATTAAGTTTAGTTATCATCGGTGTCTGTTATGGGCATAAGCCGACAATGCTATAGTTTTGGGTCTCGAAAAATTGACTAAAAAAAAGTTTTAAAATTTTATTAACTATTGTATTAGCCTATAAAAATATCCCACAGGAATTTAAAGGACCTCAATAAAATCCAATTTTAAAATTTTGTTAACTATTATATTAAAGTTTCACCAATTTCCCATTTTGGCTTTTAAGTTTGATTTTTCTCAGTTTGTCTCTTCATGTTTGCAATCCTTCCCACTTTGGCCCTACATATTTGCAATTCTTCACACTTTATTGTTAAGCTAACTTCCATCAAAAAAACTAACAGAATTGCTGCATTGCCAACACATCAACTCCATATGAGATGTAAAAAAATTCACTAAAAATGAAAAATAGAAAACAAAAAAATTGGAATTTTTTTGTCTTTAGTGAATTTTTTTTTTCAAATTTATTCATAAATATCATTACATTATAGATGCATCTTGATTAGATGCACCTAAATAAAGAAAAAAATTTATTACAGACGAAAAAAAAAATGAAAATATACTGACTCAATTACCTGTATTGTCAATTCTAAAATGAAAAGTTTGCTATCATTTTTTTTTTGTCTTTAGTGAATTTTTTATTTTTTTTAGTTAAATTTGTATTTATTTTTCAAGATGCATCTAAACTAGATACATCTATAATGTAATAATGTTTATAAATAAATTTGAAAAAAAAGTTCACTAAAGATTAAAAAAAATTATTATTTTTTATTTTTTATTTTTCATTTTTTGCATCATTAGTGAATTTTTTACATCATACATAGAGTTAATGTGTTGATGATGTGACAAATTCTATTAACTATGCTTAGTTTTAGTTTTTTGAAAACACTTTTCAAAAAATTATACTATTTTATTTTCCATATTTTTTTGATTTTTACTAATTTTTTTTAATATTTTAAGTGTTTTTTTAAAAATTTTAGACACACCTAACATAAATACACTAAAAAGAATATAATTTTTGTGAAAAAAATCTTTAAGAAATTCACTAAATACCAAAAATACAAAAAAAAAAAATGAAAAATCAGTACATTTTTGTGTATTTATTAATTTTTTAAAATAGTTTTTCATAAATAATTTGCAATTCTTCACACTTTATTGTTAAGCTAACTTCCATTAAAAAAACAAACAGAATTGCCGCATTGCCAACACATCAACTCCATATGAGATGTAAAAAAATTCACTAAAAATGAAAAATAGAAAACAAAAAAATTGGAATTTTTTTGTCTTTAGTGAGTTTTTTTTTTCAAATTTATTCATAAACATCATTACATTATAGATGCATCTTGATTAGATGCACCTAAATAAAAAAATTTTTTTATTACAGACGAAAAAAAAAATGAAAATATACTGACTCAATTACCTGTATTGTCAATTCTAAAATGAAAAGTTTATTATCATTTTTTTTTTGTCTTTAGTGAACTTTTTTTTTACTTTTTTTAGTTAAATTTGTATTTATTTTTCAAGATGCATCTAAACTAGATACATCTATAATGTAATAATGTTTATAAATAAATTTGAAAAAAAAGTTCACTAAAAATTAAAAAAAATTATTTTTTTTTGTTTTTTATTCTTCATTTTTTGCATCATTAGTAAATTTTTTACATCACACATAGAGTTAATGTGTTGATGATGTGACAAATTCTATTAACTATGCTTAGTTTTAGTTTTTTGAAAACACTTTTCAAAAAATTATACCATTTTATTTTCCATATTTTTTTGATTTTTACTATTTTTTTTTAATATTTTAAGTGTTTTTTTTTTAAAATTTTAGACACACCTAACATAAATACACTAAAAAGAATATAATTTTTGTGAAAAAAAATCTTTAAAAAATTCACTAAATACCAAAAATACAAAAAAAAAATGAAAAATCAGTACATTTTTGTGTATTTATTAATTTTTTAAAATATTTTTTCATAAATATTTTACTTTTTAAAAAAAGTAAAAACAAATGTTAAAAATTTTAAAAATATTCACTAAAAATTTAAAAAAGCACAAAAAACTCAATTGTCAAAAAACTTAATTTAGTAAACTGAAACGAAATACACTGATTAGTTTTTTTGAATGGATTTACGAGTAAAGTGAGAAAGATTGCAAATATGAAATGTCAAAGTAGGAAGGATTGCAAACTTGAAAGGCTAAAGTGAGAAAAATCAAACTTAAAGGGCCAAAGAGGGAATGATTGCAAACATGAAGGGCCAAAGTGGAAAAAAATAAAACTTAAAGAGCCAAAGTGAGAAATGGGTGAAATTTTAGGGAGGCAAAATGTAATTTATCCTAAATTTTAATAGATATATACACGAAGTAACCTTTTCACGAGTACCGTCAAATATCAAAAAATAAAAAATAAAATTAAACACATATATATATTTTTTTAAATATGTATAAAATGTCCCTGTTGAAAGATCGCCGTAGGCGTTTAGGCGTTAAAAAAGTCAGAGCCAGACCTACTTATCATCCCACTACTCTCACATAAAAGTGAACAAAATTTTAACCCCATCCTCTAAAACATAAGGGTACGTGTTACCTATTTGTTGCTAAGCTATGGTAAATTGTTAATTTGGTGCCGAGAGGTTGTGTTAGTCAGGAAAGCTCATCGAAGTAAGATTTCTCAGCATCAAGAACACCCTGCATGAACAAGACAATTTAGTAACTACTACAAGCACATATTGCAACTGGGGTGATGATATTGAACTGTTTTTCGAGTCGGGACCTTAATGATAATAATAGCTGCGTCCTTGTGCAAAACTTCATTGTACTCGTGACACGCTAGATTCTGCAACATGCCAAAACCTACTGTGATACATTTAATGTGATAAATTTAAATATCAAAAACAAAATGAGAATTTAATACCGACTAGTATCTGCTGAGCAACGGCATGATGTGAGAAGTTCCAAAGCAGCCGTTAACAGTTCGGTGAAAATAGGCTGAACCTGCATACATTCAGATGTTTTCAAATTGCAGAGTTAACATTAAATTTCATATAATAATTCACAAATGGTAGCTCAGAATCTTAAAATATCCTAGAAGTTTCATCCTTGCAACACACAGTATTCAATTTCAAAAGGTCAAGTACATAATCAGAACCTAAGAAGCTCTGATACTCCAAGATGAGTGTCATACCCATGTCTGACATAGCTGGAACACGCGTGTCCACATGTCTTACATGCTATGCAGGGTGTAAATTTTTTTTTTTTGGAAAGACATGGGGACACTTCATGGGCACGTGTCCAGTGTTTGGGGTCGAAATAAAATATATGGAAATAAAGAGGGAATGAGTAGAAAAAAAAAAATAGATATATGAACTCAAATATAGATTGACGTCTCTCGTAACTATGTATCATAAATTTATATTCATATACATAGAAAATGAAATTATATATTTAGTCATATCCTAGCATGTCTATGTCCTAATTTTCTTAGTGTGTCTATGTCCTAATGTTTTGAAAATCACTACATTCCCGTATTTGTGTCTGTGCTTCTTAGATCAGAACAAAACAATATTTGGCTAAATCATATGGGATTAGTCTAAACAATAATTTAGCTTAGTCAGCTGGGGCAGTCCAAAACCAAAAACTTACTTGACAAACAAATCTTTACTCATTAAAATAAGTTGTTCTTTCAATTTCAATTCATATAAACAAATAAATAAGAAAACCAAAAAAATCAACGGTAACTCACTTTTTGAAAATCACTACATTCCCGTATTTGTGTCTGTGCTTCTTAGATCAGAACAAAACAATATTTGGCTAAATCATATGGGATTAGTCTAAACAATAATTTAGCTTAGTCAGCTGGGGCAGTCCAAAACCAAAAACTTACTTGACAAACAAATCTTTACTCATTAAAATAAGTGGTTCTTTCAATTTCAATTCATATAAACAAATAAATAAGAAAACCAAAAAAATCAACGGCAACTCACTTGTGCCGAAATGCCAGTCCCTCCAGGATGCTGATCATATAACAGAATTCTTTCAGGAACATGGCGACTATCATGAGGGTTTACACACTCTGAAGCCAAATCTGATGAGTTGCAAATTATATATCTACATGCCAGAGTATCATGATACAGTCAGATCAACAACTGATAAATATGACAAGTTGGGTTATAGCTAATCAACTTGACTTCCCTAATGCAGCTACATATTTCACGTTTAAAATTTGAAAGAAAATAAATAAATAAATTGACAACAATTGTTAAGAAGGCTGTAACCTCAAAATTATCTATTATTTCGGCTATGTTTAGACGAACAATACAGATTTTATTAGTTTTGGTTTCCTTTTACTATAAATGTTGACAACTTACAGAGGTATCACATTAAGAAGAGCATGATCCGCAGCATGTAAGCCTGCACGGAAGGACAAGTTTTTAATCTCCACAGCTGCTTTTATAGATTGTGGGACTCGAATCCAAACAGCCTGTTTACATGTAAAGGTAAAAACAAGAAGTCAAAAGAAATGGTTAATTGGACACAACAATGCTATGAGAAACAGCCGGAAGTAAGAAATCCATAATAATGCAGAAGTGAACCAATACACACCTGTGATTCATATGAATACGTAGGAAGCAAAAGATCAACTGCATAAAAAATTTGGTTGCTTCCTCACCATATACGATAGAAACCAAACCAAGTAGTTACTTTGCAAGAATTTACTTGGGAAGTTGTTCTAGATAAGTGGATATAGGAAATCCTCGCTGGATATGCCTACATAACTGTAGAAAATGCATGTGGTTATCAACACTTATTCCAGTATCAAAAGGGTTCACAATACTTGTATAGTACTATTTGCAAATACATTCATGCAAATGGAATTAAGCTTGTAAACTATACATGGCTAAAATACAAGCAAACACAACAAAGATACGATTAAATTCTCTACAAGATAGCCAAAACGGTCATCTGGTGGCTAAATGTGGACTTCTCTATTCAAGAAGGCAGCTAACTTGAGCCGCTTCATTTTCAGTTTATCTTGCCTCTGAGATCCATATTCCACAAATTCTCCATACAAATAGGAAGAGTTGGCTGGGTTGAAATTAAGAAGATGAATCTACATGAAGGATCTCAAGTAATTGAAATTAAGGGCTTGCTAAGTTGAGCTGACTTAAATTTATTTATCAATTTTATGCTGTTAGAAATCTAATTATATAAAGCTGGAAGTGCCATGAGAGGGCTTACGCCTTATGCCTTTGTAAAGTGAAAAATCTTGTCATTTTTCACTATGATAATAACATCAAACACTATGATAACAAATGAGATTTTGCAGTTAAAGGTTTCTCACTATGATTCCCTTTGCTTTAATCTAATGAAACTTAACTTTGAGAAAACCAGATACAATATCATATATACCATTTCCAGTTATCATATGAAGGTTTCACAGAAGTATGCAGAATACTGTTGTTCATGTCTCAAGACTCATAAACTAATAAGCACTGTTAGCACAAAGAATTAAGAGCCCACATACAATTTTACCACCAATGACATGAACATCTGTGTAATCATAAGTTTTTGTGTAGTACTTCAAGTCAGCCAATTGGCATAAAGCAATTTTACTTGATATATCTAATTCTTTCACCAGATAGGTCTTGCCTTGATGCATATACACAGCACTATCATAAACCTGAAAGATCAAAAAAAATTATTAGGTTACCATTGTAACTGCATAGACCAACTAAATTTTTATTTTTTAGAATAATGGAAAATAATCTGAAGAACCAAGTATGAAGTACGATTATTATTTAAAAGAAATAGGCAGATAACATCCTTGGGCAAAAAGACCCTGAAAGATTGAGAGGCAATTGGAGAAAAAAAGGCATGAAATGTAGTTGGCTCAGCAAAATAAAAATAAATAAATAAAATTGCAAAAAGTGTAAAGAATCCGAACATAATTAGACTAGAAGTCAACCATGCACAAAAAACACTCCAAAGATCTACAACAGCAAAAGTCTTACCATGCATAAATATGAATTGCCATATATCAATATAATAATTCCCATCAAAACTCATAATCATTCTACCTGAAAGAAAGCCTTGCTTTCCTCAATCTCTTCAAGGACTTCATTCTTTTGCTTGACAATTACTTTGTACTTCTCAGTTTCAATTGCTCGTATACTAACATTATGAGAAGGCATTTTCTACCAACAAGAATACAGAAAAGAAAGATGGGAAATTAATGACTTACAGCTGCTAAAGAATTTCATCCATGATCAGATATTTTATTAACTATAAGAAGAGAGATCAGACCTATACTATTCATACAAATAATATACCTCATGCCCAATGTAACTCCAAATTCTGTTAGGAGAATCTCGTGAGGGATCAGCAATCAAGTATCCTTTAGTTTTAAGTGCCATTACGGCATTCTTTATGCGAGGACCAAAATAAGTCTCATTGTGAAGAAAGCTCAGTGAGTGTTCAACCGCAGCACAAACCAGGTGTTGTTCATGCACCTACAAGACTCCAAAAATTAGGAAAGGTTCCCCTGCTACCTCGGAACCCATAATAGACAATAATTTAACAGAAGAAAAAAAAAACAACTATCTATTTGCACGCCACAGTACACATCATTTATACTGTTCGGACATAAACTTTCAAACGAAAGTCAAATGTTTGGACATAAACTTGCGAACAAAAAACAGTTCACAAGTTTATATCCAAACAGAATGATATCTTAACAATTCATTTTTGTTCAGAAGTTTATGTCCCAAACATTTGAATTTTGTTCCGAAGTTTATATCTGAACAACGCAAATGGTGTGTACTGAGACAAACCATGGTGTGCAAACAGAATATCCCATTGTTTAGGCATTTGTTCTTCCACATCTCCACCACATTACCAAAACCGCTGCCATCATGGCCTCCAGTGCAACAGCACCAATACCACCATGCACCACCACTACACCATCCATAATTATTTTTTGCTTTTTTTTCTTTTTCTCTCATTATTTTAATCTCTCTACCCAAAACCCCCAAACCACTGCCATACTATTTGCAAAAACCCCACTAGAAGAGATGGAATGTAGCTTGCTCCTAAAGGGAAGAAAGATCTACAACCAACACACCACCGTATTTTAGATATTTGCAAAAACCGTTGATGCCATTACATTTACTCCAACTCATTCATTTTTGAGGAAATTTTACTTCAGGGGTAACTTTGAATTATGTGTTAACTTCTTTTGGAAATAAAAATACCTGTTGATTTTTAGGATCAACATGACAACACTCGATGGAACTCCTGAAGAGTTTCTGGGGAAACTTCAAAAAATACTGATCAAGAGGCCCTTCAAATGCAACATATACAGCAAGTGAGGGCTTTTCCCTTCTCCCAGACCTTCCAGCTTGCTGCCACAGACTAACATTAAATAAACAGAAAAATATAAGAACAGCTGAAAGAAAAGATTACCTTACTAATAACACAAACCAAATTACATTAGTTCTATACCTAGTGATACTACCAGGAAAGCCTAGATGCAGGGTTACATCAATATGTCCAACATCAATACCCAACTCTAAGGCATTAGTTGCAGCAACACCACAAAGATTCCCGCTAAAAAATTCACTCTCAATTTTTCTCCTATCCTGCTCCATCAATCGTGTAATGTCAAGGCACATTATTGAGCAAATTAAAAAGAACCACAGGCTGTTGGTGATAATGCAGACATCAGCAGAGGCTCAAAACAACCCAATTATGAAATATACATAGAAATTAAAATATAACAAAGATATGTTAAGTGTATATACACAATACTAAACAGCACAAAATGTCAGTCACAGTAATACTGGCAATTGTTTTATCTGTGTCCACAGAATTAAACGTCAACATCAGGATTTTTAACTTTCGAATGACAAACTAGGCTATCAGCCAAACTAGGCTTTTGACATAATAAATGAGATATGTAAGAGGACGAGGAAGAAAATGAGAACTCTACAAAGGACTTTAGTTTTTTATCCAAAGGCTCAAAGCATAACAAAACCTAGAAAGAATAATAAAAACATAAGTGCAAGGAGGGAATAATATATAACTAAAGAGCCTCAAGGAGGTAAAAAGTAAACTTCAGAGAATGCAACCTTGATTCACAAAATAATTAGGAGATTAAAAGTACCTTAATCAAAACTATTTATTATTTTCTCTAATTATTTACATAAAGACCACAAAAGGCAAGTTCACCTTAGCCATCGTCCATTCCCATATCTAGAGCATCAGGTGCTTTAAGAGCATGGTGACGTTGGAATTCTACAGTGAAAAATGAAGCAAAGAAATGCATTACTTTTCTGCCATACATCAGATGATAGTAACACAAGCACCAAAACTTCTCTCCAATCAAAGGGTTTTTCATTTCTTATATGATTCATCAACATCACCCATCATCATTGTTCGCAGAAAATGAAGAACAAAAATACTGACCTGAACCAGATGGGGTGCTGTCTCCTGAAGAATCTCACGCCTTATCATAATTACAGATATCAGATTACAGCATCTCTTTAATCCAAAAATTGAATGAACATCAAAGTTAAAGACTTAAAAAATAAAATGGGTTAATGTTACATACATATAGCATAAAACAAGTTCACAAAGTTTGCGTGTTTTGCAGAATACAATGCAACGTAGCCTATGTTGAGCAATTTCAGCAAAAAGACATGAAACCTCCAAAATCGGGCTGCAAAATAGGAAAAAAAAAAAGGAAATTCGGAAGGGGGGCTGTTAATATAATAATAATAATAATAATAAAAAAGGAAAAAAAAAAAAAAAGAAAAAAAAAAGAAGAAAAAGAAAGAGGTTGCTTATTTGGGAGATCCCAAACAACCACATATTTGGGATATGACATTTTTTATTAAAATAGTTAATAAAGACAAAATAAATTAAATTAATTAATAAGATAAAATATCACATTTAAACCATAATTAGTTCATTTTTTTCTTACAAATATTAAATCAATTAAAAAAAAGTCAACAATCATTTCGAATACAACTTTTTTAATCAGATTAAAATAACGAAACAGCCAAAAAAAAAAAAAAAACTAATTAAAGTAGTCAAATTTTCCAAGGAAGCCAATATAAAAGAATACAAGAACTCTTAGAATAAATTATTTGGAGAAAATATAAAAAAATACAAAACTTTGTTGGTAGGGAAATTCCGTACAACCTTGGGATAAATTACAAATACACCTCTTGGGGTTTGATTAAAGAAAAAGAAAATTTAAAAAATAAAATTTTCTAAAAAATATTATCTCAAAATAAGAACCAAACAAATTGATTATTTTTAGGATAAATTACAAATGCACCTCTTGGGGTTTGATTAAAATATGAATCGTCCTTTGTAGTTTTGAAAATTATATTCCACCATCTGAGATTTTTAAATTCATAATAAATCACCAATTTTATTAATAAATCATCGAGTCAACTAATAATTTTTAATGATGTTAAAAATATGTTTCAATTAATAATTTGTGTAATTTTATTATTGTATAGGAGAGTAATCATGAATTTCATTTTTTTTTATTAATTCTGTTAAATAAAAAATTCTAATAATGTGTTGTTGACGTCTAAAAATTCTAAAATTCTAATAATGTGTTCTAAAATTCTAAAATTCTAATATTCTAAAATTCTAATAATGTGTTCTAAAATTCTAATAGTCGCCAATTTTTTTTGGTTAAAAAATTCTAAAAATTCTAATAATGAATTTTATTATTGTCCATTGTGTTGTTGACGTCTACCCCACGGATGTATTGTCTAATAATGAAACACACGAAGATTCCACAGTCCAACCTGCAGTCACGTAATATGTTAATTCACTTCCACAATACATTGATTGGGTTCGAGCAAACAAGATAATAAAACAGTACTTACGACTCTGGGGCTTATTGCGAACAATCCACAACAGATGTAAGTGTGCCATTAAAATCCTCTGCCTCAACATCATGATTTCCAATTCTTGGCTTCACAAAATTATTATGGTGTTCAGCCACCCACTGTTTCTGTTCACAAATTTAATGTTAATACAATTACGTGCCTGGTTACGTGAACATATCAACTTAACCATTTGTCACTCATGCATACTCAAACTCAAAACTGATATAGTACCATGTTACCACTACCATTTCTTAACAAATAAATATACCACCTACCACTTTCAAAGTCTCGTTGTAATGCTCATCGTGCACACCACGTCTTGGCCTCAAAGAGTTGTAATGTTTCCAATCCCCGTTGTCTGAATCGTGTACCATGACAGTCTAGTGGTTAGCATGGTATATTGGGTATAAAGTGTATCTGGAACCTCGTGTTGCCTTTGTGTGTACGTTTAAGTACTTTGTTCGTGACAAAGCGCTTGTGTTACGCATTATGTCCTGCACATACATTCAATGTCCACGTTGAAATTGTTAGCAGGAATACATGTACGGGTCGTGTGTTCACAGCACAACGGGCGGTAGTGGGGTTACTTACCGAGCACACGCTACTGTACACATACGCAAAGCCAAGTCCCAAAACAGGTGAAACGAGCTCTCATTCCCTCTCTGAAGTTAGCTAGTGAAGCCCACTCTTCCCACCCTCCTTCACGCGCCGAGCAGCAGACAGAGCGTCGCTCCACTCGCATGCACGCTCCCACCTGCAGCTTAAAGAAGAAGACGACCGCGTGGCAGCCATGTCATCGCTACGCGTCGTCACGTCAGCGCCACGTGTGCCCACGTGTCTGACACGTCAGCTCCATTGACCACGCCGCTAACCGAGCTGACTAAGCCGAGCCGAAGCCAAGCCGCCAAGCTAGATTTGCGTCGTTGACCAGAGTTGCGCCGTTTCCAAGCCGCGTTGACCAGCCGTTGACTCAGCCAAACCGGGGAAATCATTCGGTGCTTCCCAGGCGCACCAGATTCCGCAGATTTGAACCGTCCAAACTATTTTGGCTTGATCAGAGCCATTCTGAGTCCCTTTTTGACGATCTAATAGTGATTTTCGACTATTTGGAGTATTCCGGACACATCCGTACGGTCAGATTTTTCATTCAGAGTTTTCTGTAAAAAGACAGTATATGATGGAGGATTCCACATCAACTTCAGAATCTATGTTCAAGCTAACTCCTTCCAATTATGCAATTTGGAAGTCACGGATGGAAGACATCCTGTTTTTAAAAGACTTGTCTGATCCCATTTTTATAAAGGGGGTTAAACCTGAAGGAGTGAAAGATGATGACTGGATAAAGATGAACCGCAAGACTATCGCTTGTATCAGACAATGGATAGACCACGGTGTGTTCATCATGTTGTCGAAGAGACAGATGCCTATGCTCTTTGGACAATGTTAAACGACATGTACCAGTCAAAGACCGCCCGAAACAAAGCCTTGGTGATGAGAAGGCTAGTAAATCTGAAGTTGAAGAATGGTGTGTCTATCGCCGAGCACACCAGTGAATTCAAAAATCTGGAGAATCAACTTGCAACCGTCAAGATGCGCTTGGACGATGAAATGCAAGCCGTACTACTGCTCAGTTCTTTACCGGACAGCTGGGAGACATTGGTGGTTTCTCTCAGCACCTCTGCACCAGAAGGGAAACTGACCATGAGTATGGTCACAGACGCCATGTACAATGAAGAAACAAGAAGGAAAGGCATGGGAGGTAATCAGTCCCATAATCAGTCTCATGCTCTTGTCACAGAAGATAGAGGCAGAGACAGAGGTAAATGAAGAGGTAGAGGAGGAAGCAAGAGTAGAGGCAGCTGGAACAACATGAGTAAATCCAGAGACAACAAAGGTCGAGGTAACTCCAGCTTCACTTGCTATCATTGTGGCCAGGAGGGTCACTTAAAGAGAAACTGCCCAAGCTGGAAAGATAAAGGCCAAAGCAGTAAGTCAAAAGGAGATGAGAACACAACAGCCACAACAACTGATGAAATACTTCTTGCAATTGGTGAAAAAGAAGATTGCCTTTATGTGGCTGACTACAGCTACACAGAATGGGTGTGTAGACACCCCATTTTTGACCGACCTTAAGACTCAGACGTCACCGATTGAGCGCTTGGTGATGTTGCATATCGTGCTCATTCAGAGGTTTCAGAGTCTCGGCTACGAGACTTGCCTCTGGACTTCCGGACTCTTTCATGCTTTGCCTCGGTTTGCGAACCAGGCTTTGTTTTCTCTATTTTCTCTTCCCGAAGGGAGGGAGAGGTCTCGTAGATCATCTCTCAGTGGCCGTAGGCTACGTTTCATGGTCGTAGGCCATTTTGCCCGTTTGGAGTCCGTTTTCCGATTTTTCGGAGCCGTTGGCCGTGTGCCTCGGTTCGGGACCGCTTAACTACCTCCGTTTGCTCCGATTTTTGGCATGAATCTTATTTTCTCCCTTTTGAGGGACACTGTGGCTCGAGGGACCAACTTTGTGATCGAACACCACTTCCAGTGCCTAACAGTCAGTTTTCGGGGCCTCGGGCTGCGCGTTTCGGCCCCCGAACCTTCATCTTGCATCGGTTTGGATTCATTTTTGGCAGGGACCTCTGTTTCATTGTTAAGAAGGTCATAGAAGGGTGAGAGGACAGTAATTGTTCTGACAACCAGTTTTCTTCCTCCATCGCCCTCCGTCGCCCGTTTTTCTCACTCGAAAGCCAATGTTGACCACCCTAAGGCCACTTTTTCCAGCCCTAAACCACATATTTGTGTTGTACACACCTGAGAGGCCACCAATATCATATGGCCGGCCAGTAATTGTGTGTGACCCTTTTGCACCCCTCCTAAAAGTGGCCTTTTCTCTCTCCTGGTTCACTTTCTCCAGTTTTTGACCACATGGTTGTGTTGTGCACACATGGGAGGCCACCAATCTGGGGTGGCCGGCCACTAATACTTCTTGAGCCTTTTGACCCTTGGCCGGCCGGCCATGGGGAGGGCCGGCCGGCCACCTGCAACTTCAATACCCGGCCGGCCATGATCCTTGTCCCAAGTGCATTCCAGCCATGCATTCTGTTTTGCACTTCATCCATGTCCGAGGGTTTGGCCTTTTGGGAGGGAAACTTGAATTTGAAATTCCCCCCCTTTTTTCCTACACTCTTGCCTATATAACAGCACCTCCAGCTCCCATCTGAAGGGTTACAAAATTTTCTCTAAGCCTCCTATATTGTATCTATCTCTCTCTACACTCCAACCCTCAAAACCTCCTAAACCCTACACCATTTCTACTCCATCTCCAAGCCAACCAATCCACCATCCTTCCCAACACTTGGAGCTGGTTTTTCAGAGGCAAGGAGCACCTTTTCTCAAGCCAAGAGGCTGTTGAAGTTTGGTCTACAAGGGTGAGCAATACTTTCCCTCTTTTTGAGCTTCTTTTGCATGCTTTCTAAGCCATACTTGCTTCCATTTTTGGGCTCCGACCCTAACTGAAAATAGCATTATTTTGAGTCCCTTTTCATGTTTGTTTAAGGGCTTTTCCCTGTTTGAGGCTTCCTTTTTACACTTGCTTCTTTACCTCTCTTGTGTGCCTCTTTCTTGCATAGTATTTTAGGCCTATTTTTAAACTGTTTTGAGCTTGGTTATAAACTGTAAAGTTGCTTATTTTGAGCCATTCTTCAACATTGTTGAAGGTCTCTTCACTGTTTGAAGCTTCCTTTTGTCACTTGCCTCTTTATCCCTCTTTTGGCCTTATTTTTGCATGTTTTGTTAGCCCCTTGTGCTTGTATTTTTG